CTTCATAGATGTCAATTAAAAGTACTACTCAATGAAAACTGTTAGTCAGTAAATCTGACTGAAGGATTTCAATTTGTCTTCTGATTGTGAATGAAACCTTAGTCTGATTATTGAGCTTCAATTTGACTTTTTTGATTGTAAGTACAACACTGTTATTCAACGAATGTGACGTCACATTCGTTTCAATGTGAATCGTGTCACGTTCGTTTAAATGTTGTGTCATATTCGTTTAAACATGAATTGGCTAAGTCTGACGCCATTTGAGCAACAATTCACATGTCACATTCAAATGAATGTGACACAATATTCAAACGAATGTGACACGTTTCACATTGAAACGAATGTGACGTCACATTCCTTGAATAACAGTGAAACTACTTCTAATTCTTTCTAGTTTGTGTTTGTTCGCAATTCATAGAAGGGTGAATTCATTGATGTAACCTACGAAAAACCAATGTTATAAGAATTCAATTTAGTTTCTGTTTGTTCATGGTTTATAGAAGGGTGAATTCACTGATGCAAATTAAAATTCAAAATGAAACACAAACTTTAATTAAATTACTCAATGCTAGATGTCGTTGATAAACGTAATCGAAAAACAAAACCTATAGCATAACAACGAACCACGTTGAATGTCAACTGTCAGCTTGTCCCTGCATAGAAGGGCAATTTATACCAAATCAATTGAATTGTCAAAAATTTGAAAATGGTTAAAACCTCGATCAACTAAAACGTGACCTAATTCAAATGAAATGTCACTATTTTATCTGTGACAATGCCTTCAACTCGCAAATTATCGTTTTCTACCTGTCATTTTGATAACATTTGAAGAAGTTCTAAATCAAACGCTGTATGAATTTCTACTTATTCCCAACAAACTGGTGTGTTTGTAATGAATTGCCATTTTGACAAACTTCTCAGTAATGACACAACAAAGTTTACAGTTGTTTGTATTTTAACAGTCTCCTACCTAACCTAACATGATAACTTGTATGTAGGTTGTTTGACGTCGTTACTTGTACATTATTCTTATTTCTTATTTTCCTTCTCAATTAAATCTTTACTTTTCTAATTTCCCTTCAAACTGCCACATCCACAATACTTTTGAAATGCCAGCAGACGCCTTTCGGGCCGGCCTCGCTAGAACAATTCAAATGATATGTACCAACATATCAAAATGGAAATTTTATTTCAAAAACCTAAATAGTTTTAATCTCCCAAAGACTAAACCAACCGCTTTAAAAGGGATCTATATATTACCAAGCCTTAAGATGAAGCGTTCGCGTTAGTTAGGCAACTAAGACGAATAAAACTGAATTTGTTTCAACACAATTTTTTTGTTATGCACTGTTAGGTTGGCGGCAACCTATAGCGGCGACTTTTCCGATCAATATGTTGGCTTCGTTATGTAGTATAGTATATTATTCTATAGTTCAGTTTCGTCTGCACTCAGCCAATTATAAAAAAAGCTTTGGAACTCATTTTCAGTGACGGAGCAGTCGGAATACACAGGCATTAGCTGAAAGGGTCAAATGTTGGGCTAAAAATGCCGCACGGCCCAGGAGGGGCGCCAGTAAACGTGTTGGCACCGCGCAGCGCCAGCTTTATGGTGTGCGTGGGGCGGCAGTGCGTGCGGTACAAATGGCCGCACACGCACGCACACTGGAGCAACACATCCCCCCGCTGTCGCATTTCCTTCCGGAAACAGCCGCCGAGTCACCAGAGTCGCGTCTGCGCCCGGCGCCCGGGTCCGTCATGTGAGATTGGCGAGCGGAAACGGCGAGGAAACAAGCTGAGGAACACCGGCGGAGCCAAGACATATAGGGGCCCAGAAGAGAGGTTTTAGCCTAGCCCGGTATGACAAACATATGCACGCTGCTGTCCTGCTGGAGTCCCATATCAACCTTCAACTGTAAGCGACCCGTGCGCCAAAAGCCACCGTCCGTAGTCCTCCTCCCTTTTCCCGCGCCCGGAGTGCCTCTCTGCGCGTCGCTAACATGCCCAGCACGACTCCAATATACGCGTTCCGG